CAGAACCACCAGTGTGCTGGAAAAACAGGGAAAAGAGTGCGTCCATGGAAAGGGGCTTGTGGACTGCAAAGAGAAACAGCTCTAGCACACTGAGAAACTAGCACACTGAGGAAAGTTTCTCTTCAGTACAAGGAGTAACAACCAAGATGAGACATTAGCTACATGCAAGATGACCAAACAAAGACACCAAGAAAACAAAACAAAGGCAGAGAGCTCCTCACCGCAAACTAAAAGTTACCATTACAGGACGTTCACCAGGAACGACACATTCTAGACTATCAAACCTCGAAACAGTGTTTTTAGGAGTTATTTGACCATTAGAGAACAAAAGTAGGAATTTTTAAACTTTGTTATTGGTTATTTTGCTTATTTACATTTCAAACGTTATCCCCCCTTACCTGTTTGCTCTCTGAAACGCCCTATCCCATCCCCTCTCCCCCTGCCTCCACAAAGGTGCTCCCCCACCACAAAAGTAGGAATTGAAAAAGGAAAAAATAATAGAAAAATCATTAAGCTGCTGGAAGTGGTACAATGTGAAGTATCAAAGGGAATTATGAAGAATGCACAGATCTGAAGGAAATGACAACACGTTCGGCATGTGGGGACAGAGAAGGCACACTGACACAGGGGCTGGCAGTATTCACTGCTCACACTAAGATACACATGGTCTCTAAGCTCTCACTGTAAGAGCAAAGGGAAAGATGAGCAAAGTAAGTACAAAGCAATGAGAAGGAAGGACATAACACGGATGAGAGAATTAAAAAAAAATCAATGAAATAGAGAACAGAAACATAAGGGGATGAAAATACATTCAACAAAAAGCTGGTACTGGGGGAAAAAGTCAATAAAATTGATATGCCTAGCAAAGAGAAAAGAGAAAAGATTCAAATCACTACTGTCAAAAATGAAGGGGTACAGATCCTGTGTCACTAATGATATAGTGAAAGAATACTATTAATTTTAAGCTCACAAATTTGATAACTTGGAAGAAATGAAGCGATTCTCAAAACCCACAAACTCCTTGGGATGGAGCTATGGTTCAGTAGTTAAGAGCATGGGATATTCATCCAGAGGACCACAGATCTGATTCTCAGCACTCGCCTGTAACTCCAGTTCTAGGGGAACTGATACCCTCTTCTGACCACCACAAGTACCAGGCACACAAAGGAATACACAAACATTCATGCAGGCAATACACCCATATCCATAAAATAAAAATAAAATATAATTTAAAAATACCCACCAGGCTTATAAGATCAATCAAGATAAAATAGACAATGTGAATAATATTAAAAACATTAAAGAAATTAAAATTTTAATTTAAAAATTCTTTGCAAAGAAGTCTTCAGGCCCTTACCACTTCACTGGAGAATATTAACAAACATTTAAGAACTAACATCACTTTAAAACAGGCTTGATGGTATATGCATATAACTCCAGCACTTAGGGGGCTAAGACAGGAAAATTGCAAGTTCAAAGCCAAACTCAGCTAACTACATATATAGAAGAGGAGGAAGAGAGGGAGAGAGGGAGAGGTAAAGGGACTCTAAAACCTAAAATCAAAGCCAACCTAACACCCATTTCATACACATTTTTCCAAAAATTATAAAAAGGACAATCACTGATTATATATAATGGGGGTATTATTACCATGACACAAATCAAAGTAACAATACAAAAGCACAAAACTTAAGACCAATACCTCTCATCAACTTTGCTATAAAAACTCAAAAAAGCAAATCATACTGTTCCATACATGAAATCAATTTTTACAACCTAACCTTAATACATAGCTTTAACCTTAAGTTACATATTCTTCCATACCCCGACAGAGAATAATGTATATGTGTGCAGTGCTAATCACTTGAAACAACAGCCAAGACATTTAAAAACAACCTCAAACAGAGCAAATACTCCATAAATATTGGAAGCAATATGTGATATAGGTTGGTAACATCTTTTTTCAATTTTGAGTTCTATTCTGGATTACTTGGAGTAAATAAAGTAACCCCTTTCCTTATAAATTCTGCTACAGAGCTCTGTAAAGAATGGCTTGCTTCTTTCCCACACCATGTTTCTGTGCAGTTCAACAAATACAGAGCAAAGTCTTTTCTTCAGGTCAGACAGAAGACATGGGAGAAGGGGACAACTCAAATTGGGGGTTATTCTTGGTCAAATTAATCCAAGGAATTTTGGATTCCTTAATTTTTATTTTGATTTCTTAATGTGTTTATCAATGCAACAAATAACATAAAAATTGATCTATCATTTGATGAAATACTAGTGTGTCAGTAGAAATTTTCCTTTTGCTTTTGTTTTAGGGCATTTAGAAGCTTGTCCCAAAGTTATTATAGAAAAGACTAGCCCTGATATTTTTCAAAATAAGAACAAAGTGAGAAGAGTCACTCTACTATGAAGGCTTTCTATACTATACACGTACAGTAATGAAGGCAGAGGCACAGGCAATCAGATCAATGCAAAGCAGGAACACAGAAAAGAGGCTCATACAAATATGAACCCATTAGTTTCTTTCTAACAGAAACACACAAAAGATTTCTATAAATGGTGCTGACATAAATGGACATCAATATCAACAACAACAACAACCAAGAAACTCAACTCAGACATTCATAATACAAAAACTAACTCAACTGGATCATTGACTAAAAAGAAAAAATAAAAGAAGACATACTTATCTACTTAAGGTTAAACACTGTAGACTATGGAAGACCCTGAGGATAATGAGGCCAGCCACAGAGAAGCAAAGTATTTTACACTACATAGCCAACAAAATATCTATATTTAGAACACATGAACAACTCTCAAAACTCAATAAGAATGGCCAAACATTGTGGTATGATACAGCCAAAAGAATGCACACAGTTCCAGTGAAAATATAGGCAGGAATAAAAATATGAAATAATGTCCATTATTATTGATCATTATAAAAAGATAAACTAACTAAGACATGACTAAATGCCCATAAAATTCCTAAAATTAAAATTATGAACTTTGGAAGTTAGAATTCCAAATGCCAGATTTTTTTTTTTTGCATTGCTGGTGGAAATATAAAATGATGCATCCTTTTTGAAATATGATTTTTTTTAAATAAAACACACTCAATCCAAAAGAAAGCAAACTTTCATGGGCACATGAAAATCTATACTTGAATGCTTGTAGCAATTTCATTTGTAACTGTCAAAAATTAGAAAGAATTCCAATGCTTTCCAATAGATGAACAGTTAATTAATCTAGAACCTCTATACTGAAAGGAAAACAATGAAGATGGAAAAAAATACTTAAACACATACAACTTGGAAGGCTTCAAAGAATTATACTGATTAAAAAGAATCAATCTGAAAAAAGTCACATAATAACTGATCCCATTTATATAGGTTTCTTGACATACAGCAGATTCACAGCAGATTAATAGGAGTTTCAGGTTAGGGAAGTGGGTAGGAAATAAAGTATCTGTGCTGAGGCTGGGGTTGACGGATCAGAGGTAAAAAGTGCTTGATACTCTTCCAGAACACCTGAATTTGATTCCCAGCACCCATGCCAGGTAATCACAACCAGCTGTGACTGAAGGGCTAGAGAAGCCAACATTCTTTTCTGGCTTCTAAGAATACCTTCTTCATACATGTGCATAAATGAAAAATTTTTACATGCAAATAAAGTGGTAAACACTTGCCTACCATATACAAGGCCATAGTCAATTTCCAGCACCTTAAAAAACAAAAGAAATGCATGATCCTTGTAGTAACAGAACTATTCAGAACTTTTACTATAGTGATTTTAATAAATCTAAAATGGATCCATATAAAACTGGTACTCTCTGAACATAACAGACAAATTCTGTGGATGTCAGTTTTCTGGTTGTAATAAGTATAACTGTAGTTAATCAAAATGTTACCATCAGTGGACACTGGGTAAAGGGTGGGTAGTTTCTCTCTACAACAGCTATAATAAAATATTATTTATTATTTATTAGTTATTTCAGAATAAAAGTTATTCTCTCTCTTTTCTTTGAGAAATAGAAAAAGATCTTTCTACTTCATTATAATTCTGTGATTCCTAGAGTCCTGTATTAGAATAAAATTCAAGTTTATCGAGTCTGATATTAATAAAAAAATAACTTCTGACATAAATAGGGTTGAAGGAAAGCTCATTCTTCACTAAGAATTCCAATGTACTAATCACTATAAACCCACTTTGGGATATATAAAGTAGCCATTACAGTACCATGCCATAGTGGATGGAGGCACACTCCTCAGATGCATTTTACTATAGTGGTACAAAAGTACATTTGAATAGTTGCAATGAGTCTCCCTTGCAATACTGCTATAGTTTTAATACAAATTGTCCAAAGTCCCATATGTTAAATGCTAGTCCCCTAGTGCAGTCATTTTGAGGTAATGCCTTGTGAGAAGTTGATAGGTCAATGGACATAGGCCCTTGAATGTGAGTATTTGGGCAGTACACACCTTTTTTTAAAAGTCTATTTCCATTTGATTAATGGCGTAATGACATTAGTGTTCTATTACTATGAAGACACACCATAACCTAGGTAACTCTTATTTTTAAAAATAGCATTTAATTGGGGCTTGTTTATAGTTTCAGAGGTTTAGTCCAGTATCAGCATGGCAGAATGGATGGAAGCACACAGGCAGACAGTACTGGAGAAGGAGCCAGGAGTTTTACAATGAGATCTGCAGACAGCAGGAAAAGCCAGTCACTGGCCCTGGCTTGAGCTTCTGAAATCCTAAGTCCCACCTCCAGTGACACTCTTCCTCTAACACGGACACAACTATTCTGACAGGGCCATACCTCCTGATCCATCAAACACTGCCACTCCCTGGTGACAAAGTATTCAAATCTATGAGCCTATTAGGTACCATTCTTATTCAAACCACCACAGACATCACATATATTGGCACTATTCTGCCCTCAAAATGAGTTGTCTTGCCTATAGCTGCATGCCATATAAGGTTTTGTCTCACCTGGCCAGTTCTTTAATTAAGTTGGCAATGCGTCTTTTGTCTTCAAGACATAAATCTTTCAATGATGCACTCTTCATTCCTCTCTTGCAGAAATTCTAGAATAAAAATATCTCTGGTTACTGTTACTAAAAACAATTTTTTAACTACATTTTAGAAATTTATCAAATTAAACATGGAAAGCAAAATTTCTTAAAAATTACTCATCTGGTTGATTACTATCCACGTTTTTCATTTAAACCTACTGTGAATTTCAGACATGCTAGGGAACTGATAACAAACTAGACAACATTATGGAATTTACAGAAAACACACACAGACAGAACTAGAAGATATACCTGCTGACGACTAGAGACCACTTAAACCTTTCCCCCGGTGAATGTGAGGGTGGCATGTGTCTGGAAGACATTGTTGCCTCAGGAATGTTTAAGATATACAAAGGCTAGCTAGGAGACACTGTTGTCAAGTTTTTAAAAATCAAAATTCTTAAGGGCCAGATCTAAGAAAAACTAGAAATTTCCTGCAGTGTTTTCACATGCGAAGAATACGATACGTACTTTTTACCTGTTACCCATCTCATTTTCAGAGCAGTGCAATTAGGCAGACACTGCTCCTGTTCTTCATCAGGAGTACACAGTTTGGCCACAGTTATAGCGGCTAAATAAGAGACTGGGGTGTGAACACAGATTCTTTTTATTTCTTTTTTTTTGTAGTAGTAGAGTGGGTTCTCTCCAGTACTGCAACAATTCCAGATAAGTCTTTAAAGCCATCACCTTCAAGGTGTCACAAGAGAACCGTAGTTAACACAGAAAAGGAACATTTGGTCTTAATTCTAGCATTTGTGCAAAGGCCAAAGTGACTTAACATAGCCTTTCACCTAGCCCAAACAAGGAAAGAGCAACGAATCCTGGAAATAGATAAGGTAGAAAAGGGAAAGAGAAAAAAGAAAGTGAACTTGGATTTTGGTGTGATCAATTTAAGACACCTTTACTGACAACCTTGTGGAAACATTTAGAAAAATAGAAAGGGAAGTCTGTCTTTCCCATTAGAAAAGCACAAAGATTCAGAACTCTGTAGTATACAGTACTGTGACTTAGGTTTTTATTACTTCCTTCATATATTTCCCATGCTTAAAATTTTTCTATAATGATATGTAAAAATCAAGATAAAACACTAGTTTTTTAAAACTCATTTAAAATAAAAGACATTGGAATTCTTTAAATTTTTAAAAATTATTTAAACCTAAGTTAAATTTAAAATGTCATTTAAAAAAGACAATAAGATAATCAGAAGCATATAATATTATAGGCAAAAATGTAAAGTTGACTACAGAGTCAATGTTAAAGACTGAAAAAGTCAAGCTGGGGAGTTGAAGGCACTGGCCTTGGCAACCGAAGAAGCTGACGACAGAAGCAGCGAAGACAGGTGCATGGAGTAAACGACCAAACAAACTCTGGCACATAGGCCACAATCTTAGCAGCCATTTTATTGTTGTTGTTTGTTTTCAGGGTAGCCTCAGATTACTCTGAGCTTCTGATCCTTCCACCTCTGCCTGCACAGGCCTGGGATTACAAACATATACTAACTATCACACTCAGTTTATGGGGTGCTAGAGATTGAACACACAGGGTTTCCTTCGTGCTGGTAGGCAAACACTCTGACCTTCTAAGCCACCTCCCCAGCTAGCCACTGTGTTTAACATCGAAACGTGAAAACACGAACGCCTCTCACAAGAGAGCAGCACAGCTTGGCATCTTTTTGTACTCGTATTGCCCATTTTGTGTCTCACTGCTGCTGTTCATCCTGAAGCTCATCTTTCCATCTCCAGTACTGTAACACTGACTTGGGACTTTTGGGACCCCAGCTCTCCTTTGGCATCTGGCACCCTGATATCTGCTACAGAAATAACTAGATTGAGACCAAGGTTGTAAGAAAGAAAAAGAACATAACCCTTGTCTGCTTCCTGGTGCCTTCAGTGCCACTCCACTCTGTTACTTTCACAAAGACAACTGGTTCCAGTTTATAATTGTAGAACTCCGCCTCTGAAGGGTAAGAGCAAAGCCAGTCGGGGGTACCCTGTCATACAAGTCCAAGCTTCCAATTTAAGCACGTGCTCCAGCATTCTAACTCTTACTGCTTCAAACCTGTTCTTGTTCATCCAGCCCTGGCAATGGTGATTGTGTTTTACAGGTAATACCTTACAATAGCTTACTGTTTCCTTTTCGCTTTTCCAGTACTTATTTAACAACTTTTTAAAAGAGAGAGTTTCTCTATGTAGTCCTGGCTGTCACAGAACTTGCTCTACAGACCAGGCTGGCCTCTAACTCAAAAGATTTGCCTACTTCTGCCTCCCAAGTGCTGGGATTAAAGGAGTGCACCACCACCATAAGATATGTCTGATGGTTTCACCTTACATGTATGTTTAAACACTACATGTATGCAGTGCCCACAGAGGTCAGAAGATGACATAAGATCCCCCAGAACTGGAGTTAAAGGTGGTTGTGAGTCACCATGTAGGTGCTGAGATATGAACCTCTGTCTTCTGAAAAAGCAAGTGCTCTGAAATGCTGACCCATCTCTTTAGTCAAAAGGACTGAATAAGTGCTGACATGTTAGTTAAAAGAAACTTAAAAATTACCATTACAGCATTAAGAATTCTCATGAATACACTAACAAGAAAAGAAATTAGTCCTATAATACATATTGTATGAGTATTTATATAAAATTCCAAACATATAAAACTAAACATTGCTTAAAAATAAAAATACATCAACCTGTATAGGACAGGGTTTTGAAAACTATAGCTGAAAGCTATATTTAGCTAAGTATATACATTTGTAAATGAAAATGTATTAAAAACAAAACAACAATAAAACCCCACAAAGTCCATTATTTAAGATTTCCTAAGATGCTTTCCATGCCACAGGTGTGAAGCTGTATAACTGAGATGTATGTTTTTCATTTCAAGACAGAGAGCAAGGCAACAAGTGGACTCTACTTGAAGTTTGAACTATGACCTGCAAGGGTGTGAATAAACCCTTCCCTCCCCAAGTTGCTGCGGGTCAGAGTTTTATCACAGCCACAGACTAGAACTAGACACTGTGCATATGAAACACTGACTGCTGAAAGAAGTGTAACTAGCTACACTTCTCATTTATGCCCTCTGGTGCACACCATGCTTGAGCCAGCATCAACTAACAGCAAGCACTGAAACTTGCCATCTATCCAAAATGCCATCCAAAAGGACAATTGTTCTGGGTTCACTACCAAATCCTCTTCACTATTCCACAAGTATCAGTAAAAGATGAAAAATGTCTCCACAAGTATACATTAGAAATTTTGAAACACTTTCTGTAAATAGTCTGGCAGTAAACATTTGGGGTATTTTGGGCTTTGTCAGATGAGAGTCACTAGAGCAACTCTGATTCTACAAACCAGTCACAGTACAAACAGTACCTCAAAAAATGAGAATACCTGGGAAGGAGGATAAAATCATTCACAAAACAAACAGTTGTGTAGCTGTTTCCCTCAAAATGAAGTCCTATTCCTCGGGGAAGGAAGAGGCCTAAGACATAGGATGCTACAAAAACTTCCAAGGCTCAGTTGTATCACTCCCTCAGAGTCTAAAACCAGGGCACAGTATGTGGAGAGGGTTGCTGCCTGCAAGTTGAATGGGAGATAACTTTTCTGAATTGTCATCCATAATGGGGTAATTTTTTGGTGATGTAGCTCCCTTGAAGTCATCCAAGCTCTTTGTAAGTAATCCCAGTAAATTCAATGATTTACCAAGCTAGCCTGGGATGAGACAGTTTTAGAGTCCTGTCTGGGATGAATACCAGATTGATCAGTTCTCCCCAGAAAAAGCCACACAGCATACGCAGAAGAAAGATCCTGCCCATGAGGTATGGACTACAAACACTAGTGCCAACTTAGACTGAGAAAGAAAACTTAACAAGTATAGCATTACAATAAAGTGATTTTTACTTTGAAATATATTGGTTAAAACACACAGACAGAAAAACACACGTGCCAAAGGAATGTGTGAACACCATTATGAAGACAAACAGGGAACCAAAATCAACCCTGGCCTACAAAAGCAAGAACTGTGACCAGGGGAGGTTGTTCAGTGGATAAAGATGACTAGCTCTGTATGAGTTAGGATGCCCAGAGTCACAGACAAGCCTGGTGGAAAGCAGAAATAGAGGATCCCCTAGAAAACTGCTGAACTAGCCAGATTTGGCCATCTCTGGGTTCAACATGGCATCCTGCCTCAATAAATGAAGTAGAAAGAAACTGAGGAGAGAGCTTGTGTCATGTTCAGGCCTCCATATACATCAATATGCATATGTGAACAGGCACAACACATATATGTTATAAAAGGTTGAAAAAAAAGAAAGAAAATAACTGGGAATTTGCTTCAATCCCAGTAATTGGGAATGGGGTCGGGGGCAGGAGCAAGGAAATCATGAGCTCAAGGCCAGACTCAGTTACATAGGAAAGTCAAGAAGGCACACCTGTTATATAGGAGAACCTGGCTCATAAAAAATTTTGTTTTGTTTTTCTAAAACAGAACAAGAATTTTTAAAAAATAACATTATTTTCTAAGTGAAAGGCATAATAATTCAGGCTGATTTTCTACATACAAAGTTCATTCTAATATAAAAGTATCAGCCATCAACAAATAAATTTCTAAGAATAAAAACATACAGAATACCTAACCATAAAAACAGTGAATTTATCTTACCAATCAATGCCCCCAAAAAAGTAACATGTTAAATTTAAATATTTCAAGAACTAGTAAGATAATTCATTTTCTTGGCTAAGGCTAAAAGCATGTCTCTCCCTTTTGGAGCAAAACTCTTGCAAAGTGATATTTTATACTGATACTTGGCACTATCAAGGATCATAAATGGTTTTTTTAGTTCCTAAAGACACAAAAAGGTCTCCCTTGAAGGTCTTTGTGTCTTTACTGAGCAGTATATATAAAACTAACAAGCTAGGGAGAGGCTCAGTCAGTAAAGCGCCTTCACTCAAGCATGAGAACCTGAGTTCAATGAGGACATAGTAGCATTTGTTTGTAACTGTAACACTAGGCAGCTGGATCCCCAGAGCCAGACCAGGGGGGGCTCTGGATTCAGTAAGAGACTTGTGTTACAAACAAAAGGCCCCCAGGGAAACAAGCAAAACAAAGTGGAGTGATAGAGAAGTAGAGGAAGATAAGCCACTTCTGGCTTCCACACATGCACACATGTGTGCACCCGTGACCCACTCCACACACACATGCAACATGTATACACACAAAAACCTGAACAAGTAAGTAAAACATTACTGACCGGTTCGGCTACTGAATCTCCTGCACCTTTAAAAGACTCCACGGAGATGGAAGCATCAGTCACCCTAGAAGCCTTAACTTTAACATCAACTTTTGGATTTATCAACTTGAGTCTTGATCTTGTATGTCCTTCTGTGGAGATTCCTAAAAATGTTTACAAGACTTTAGAATTCGATCTTATTAATTTTTTCAATTTAAAACTCATGTGTGTGAGAGTGAGAGTGTGTGTGTGTGTGTGTGTGTGTGTGTGTGTGTGTGTGTGTGTGTGTGACAAGAAGGTTAAAAAATAATTCAATAATTCAGTTAGGTGCTATGGACATTTGTAAGTCACATTAAAAGCAATAAATTACAACCTACTGAGATAACACTGAGGAAATCCTAGGCTTTTTCCCAGGAGTATCTTCAATGATTCCACATGACTACTCTTCCAACTGAACAATCAATAAGCATAGAATCTTGTATTTAACCTGAATCATTTTTTTATATTTTCTTTTGAGATAGAAAATGTAAATTTTTAACAAGAATCTCTTCTCTTTAGTAAATGGGTACTTTATAAACCATACATGCTGACTTGCCCAGCCAGACCCTATGATGACTCACTATTTCAGACCTCAAGATCTAGTCAAATATTTAATTAAAAACATTTGCTTTTTAAATTTGGTTTTTGAAAATTCTTTATGTTCAAATGACTTGTTCCATGTCCAACTGCACATGAAAGGTTGTCCCAATGTTTAATTTTCTCCTAACACTTAAGAAACAAGGGAGGCTTCAAGAACTTTAGACATCATACCTGGAACATAAACCACTGATTGTTCTTCATCAGAAACTGGGAAGAAAACATAAAGGAAAGCACTACAGAATATAATATCCACGGGCTGCCATTGTTCTATATTGTAAGTTATCTATTTTGACCTTAAAATTTAGAACTTACTTCTTACAACCTAGAAAATGAAAACAGAATGAGTATTTTACAGAATAGTCCCCACATCTTTCCCCCACACTTTCTCCCAAACAAAGTACCTTTGTGATATGCACTCTACGTTTTGCTGCTTTCCTCTTACAAACCATGCACAAGGCATGAAAAATAAATCATTCCAAAATAGACATTAGCTCTGAAGGTCAAACAACATTTTAGGGAAAGTCAGTCATACAAACACAAAGGAATATTTACTCTTCTATAAAATATTTATGAAATGTCCCAAGAAGTCCTACTATAGAGCCATGAGAAAAATCTAGGACAAAAAAAAAAAAAGAAAAAAGAAAAGAGAATAAAATATTTTCAATTTCAAAAGAAGAAATTCAGAAAATATGGATGGATAGACAAACAGACATACTTTTTTTCTGTTGCAAATGTATACACATACACACACACATCTATAAAGTCAATATGATGATTAGATCCAAAGTCAGTATCACGCAGAAGGCCCCAATGATGCTCTATGAGCTACTAAAACAAGCAAACAGTAAACAGAGAAAACAGAAAGAGTAATTGGGGGCAGTAGGAGAAACTATTACTATATATGACATTATAATTTAGTAATAAAGTAAATAAATAAATTCTTTAGCTCTGCATCAATCCTAGTGATAGAATCTTTTTTTCCAAGAATTACTAACTGGAATTGCCAGTAATATGCTGGGCTTGGTGATGCAAGCCTATAATTATAGGCTACTGGGGAGGCTGAGGCAGGAGGAGCTCAAGACCTGCCTGGACTACAGAATGAGTTCAAGAGAAGATGGTGGGTGTGAGTCGGGTAAGAGCTGGGGCTGTAGAAGTCTTACCTGGAATGAGCAAGGCCCTAAGATCTATCCCCCACAGTAACAGAAAAGTAAGAGTTCTCAGACCACACCTCTCTGAGCTTCTGGGTGGTTTCTAACAGCCTTCTGCAGCACATGGGCTCTCCACCACAAGTTTAAGACTTTGGTTGTAGGCTGGGTATGGTGTACAGGCCTATCATCCCAGTACTTAGTGGATGAGAGAAGAAGATCAAGAGAGCCACTACATGAAACCCTGTCTCAAATAAATAAATGAATACTCAATTTCCTCAGAGAGTGGGTAGAGCTTTGACAGCTCTGGAGAATTATAATTACTACTCCAAAGAAGCTAGCTTGGAATTCACCATTTCAAAAATAGCTTTATGAAATAAAATGGTGTGGTCTCCTGAACCTCTCTTTTACTTTATATCCTTCGTCTAACACAGAGACTTTATACATTGTGGGCATTCAATAAATGTTTGATGTTTGAAATGTACTTGAAGAAAAAAAACACAAAAAAGTAATCCAAGACAATGGTTCAAAATACGCTCCAGACAACAGTGCTTTTAATTAGGAGATAAATGCAGGGTGTCCTCCAAGGATGTCCTGCAAACAGGTTATCTTTTCTAGATCACTCACAAAGGAGCCTGATAGAGAAGAGCCAGAATGGAAATGGGAACCTTACTGGGCTTCATAAGCTCAAATACTTCCCCCTGTCTTCTCCTTCAATCCTGACACACTTCTGCCACTCTTACTCTCAGGTAATAATCTGTTTTCTATTGCCTTAAGACAACAAACTATAAAGACCTCCCCGTGGCTCCTTCTTGCTACAGAAGTGTTCACACCCTGATCTATAAGCAATGGAGCAGTTACACATCTATGGCAGAAATTTCCCTACCCAATCTATTTGCAGTGGGAGGCCTATGATTGGACAGGAAAAAAAGGAGGCGGAGCTAAGGGTAGCAGAAAGAGAGGGGGAGGGGGAGGGAGAGGGGAAAAGGGGAGAGGGGGAGAGGGGGAAGGGAGGGGAGGGGAGGGGAAGGGGGAGGGGGACGGGGCGCAGAGAGGCAGAGAGGCAGAGAGGCAGAGAGGCAGAGAGGCAGAGAGGCAGAGAGGCAGAGAGGCAGAGAGGCAGAGAGGCAGAGAGGCAAAGAGGAGAGGAGAAAGGCAAAATGGCACCAGACATAGACCCAAGTGATTCAAGTAAATAGGCAGATACGAAATTTAAAGATTAGGAATATTGAGATAACTTTCTATTCTGTGTGGGCATCTTGTGTACTGAGATTTTATTGATATATATCAATCCATTGATTAACTTTAAGCATCAAGAGTTTTGATTTACTGGGTTACTGGAAGATGGGTCCACAGACAACCAGGTGGCTGTGAAAGAACTAGCGGATCCAGGGACAAGCGGACCAGAGCTGGAAGCACAGCAACTGGTCTCAACAGGGGCTAGCTAGAGCGGACCAGGCAGGCCGCTGGTAGCAAGCATTAGTGAGGGAACATGGCGGTTAAGTCAGGAGCCAGCCGGACACTCTGCTTTCTAATATCTCCTGCTACACTGTCCGCGCGTGTGCGCACACACACACACACACACACACACAACACACACACACGCACGCACGCACCCACGCATACCTGTTTTCCTCTTTTCTCCTAAGGATATGTGATGTTTTCAATCCTCTTTTCCTTAATCAACCTTTTTTTTTTCTATTTAGTTTTCCTATTAACATTTAAAGATGTACTATCTACTTTTTTCAAAAAAGTAAAATAAATCCCTTCACCCTGCATCCCCTGTTACTATACTTCTTCCCCCTTTACAGCTTAACTTCTCCTGAGAGGCTTTCCATTGTTCCCACTTCCTCTCCTAATTAGTCATGACCTATCCCAACCAAGCCTTGATCCTATCAACCCAGCAAAACTATTTCTAATGCCCCAATATTGGTGAACCTATCAGTTAATTCTTCTTTGCATTGATCAATGAATAGAATTTGATATAAATGACTATTCACCAAACTTTGTTTGCTTAGCTTCAACGATAGCGCACTCAAAATTTTCCTATGCCTTTTATAATAATTCTTGCTCCTTCCCTTTCAACTTCTCTAGCCTAGCCATTCCTTGTCACTTAGAGAGTCTCAGGACCCCTGATTTGGAGTGTTTTCTTTCCTTATTCTATTGGGGGTCTTATTTAGTGAGACTGATTTCTTCCAAATTAATCTTTAGCTCAAGCCTATCTGCTAAAGTTAATGCTGACATACATAAAAGATACCTGAGAACTACAGTTCTTAAGTTCATCTTAAAGTCGGCTCTACACATAGCCTTTCCCATACTCCTAGCTGCTCAAGCCAACACCAAATCACAGTCTTGACTTTTATATCTCACATTCAGAAACTTCTGATGGCATAACCTTCAACATATACCTACAGCCCAACAACTTCTGACCAACAGTGTGACATAAATCCAAATCATAAATGAAAAGACTCTAACACAAGAGCTTATGTCATCACTGACAAATTAAAGGATCCAGCTTATACTTCCATATTGCTATTCATCACCATAGGAAATCAGGACTGGAACTTAAGCAGGTCAGGAAGAGAGAGCTGATGCAGAGGCCATGGAGGTGTGCTGCTTACTGGCTTGCCTCCTCTGGCTTTCTCAGCTTGCTTTCTTATAGAACCCAGGACTACCAGCCTATGGATGGTGCCACCCACAATGGGCCCTTCCACCTTGATCACTGATTGAGAAAATGGGTTACAGCTGGATCTCATGGAGGCAATTCCTTAAGGGAGGCTCCTTTTTCTGTGATAACTCCAGCTTGTGTTAAGTTGACACACAAAGCCAGCCAATCCAACTTGCATCCTTTAATTTGTCAGTGATGACATAAGCTCTTGTGTTAGAGTCTTTTCATTTATGATTTTCTCAGAATCTTCAGACTTACTCAGTCATTATCTTTAAGCCTTTGGTCATACATCACTGTTTGACTGAGGCCTTCACTGGCTAACAACACAAGTACTTAAAACTGCACAATTCTTGTTGGACATAAAGATCCAAAACCAGGGGACACACTCCCCCAGAAACACTCATGGACAGGATTTGCTGCAATAACATGAAGTTTATTGATGAATTGATAAAAGCCAGTGCACTGGGGTTCCCTTGCATGCAGGCAAGAAGAACCCGGAGCTAAAGCTAAGGGCAGTTTATATACCATTTTTACAGAGTTCACAAGGACAGTTAATTACTTTTTAAACAATAACCATAAAAGATTTCAAACAGCGGTTCCCAGGCCCAGTTTCTAAGTAACTCAAATTTGCACCTTATCTTTTACCACAAAGAAGTTTAGCTTAAGTGGCTTCTGTTTACCCAAGTGTACTGTGTTAAGGGTCTCATCCCCCTTTTAAACTCTTATCTTGGGCCCCTCTTAGTCTCTGGAGTGTGCTTCACCCAGGATGTGTCCTGGGGCAGTTAATTCTTGAGTTTACCGAAACCTGAGATTCTTGAGACCTGAAATTCCTACATTCCTACATTCTCTCCAAATGTGACCCTCTTCCCACTCTTTGGCCTTTATTTTTCTGTGTGGTACCTAGGATTAGTAGATACATCCATTTCATTTATTCATAACCTTATCTCTCTAAAATGTTAACACAAAAAATGATGGTTTTCAACCTGTATATTCAATTTGTATGGATTCCCAAACAAAAGAATACCTAGTTTATATTAAGCCATCCATCCACAAAGGTATAAAACTGATACTGATTTTTATGAAGTATGATCCCAACAACTCTAATTACTAATTTCAACAAACGGTTTAAAAAAACAGCATTAAAAGTTGTCTCTTCCAATACATACAACAATTACTTTGTCTCATCAAGAACTCAAATATTTAACTTATATAGAATGTCCCAACAAAGGTGTATTTTTTTTTAGAAAGATCAAAAGGACAACAGGCATATCAAGTAGATATTGGACCTACATCACACCTTATTTCTCTATTTCTTTAGTTAGAAGTACTTCAACAAGGACTACAAGTCATAGAACATTTTTGATGATGATAACACTTTATATCCCCAGAAGGAAAGTAGTTTCTGGGAGCTGGGGCAGAAATGGAATAGAGGAAGCAACAAGTGAAAGGAATAAGCTAGGTATTGCTTACTGTTCTCTAATCCTCAAAACAGTGAATCATTTGCCAGCAACACAGGTATATGCTATTACTATTTACCACAAAGGCTTTCAGATACATTCGTTTTACATCAGTGTAACGTTTTCATCTATTTTTATTTAAAAACTCAATGGCAGAGATGATAATTATTGCAATGTTTTGGGCCACTCCCTTGTAGTCTAAAACTTAATATTATTATTAATTTTGTTAATCCAGCAAGTACACATTAGTAACCAAATTTAGATATGTAGAAAGAGTATCCACTTCTAACACTACTATGAACTTTGTGGATTAATAAAGGAATAAATTCACAACCATACGATTATGATTTACTAGATGATTTAAACCATAAAATGCAATGTGGTATTCTCATTCTTCATACATAAAATGCCAAAACATTGTGTCAGCACTGCAAAATCAAAATGCAGAAGATACAAACAACTTCTTTTAAAGGTGATGACTGGTCACTGATTATCTGCTCTCATATGATAGAAACTGACAAACCTCTCAATCACATTTATTTAATTGTTTAAGTGAAGCAATGAAAAATATTTTACTCAATAATATACAAAGAATACCAGATCATGGTGCATACTATTTGTCTTTTTTCCTAGGGAAATTTTACCTTGGGAAAATGACCATCAAAGTGACAGAAAGAAATCAAGATCCAAAGACCAATATGTTTATAACTAACAATTTTTTCAGCAAATTGTCAGCAACAATGTAATATGACATAGTTATATGCCTTATGGAAATATAGAATGAAAGTATCAGAGGCTGAATGTTAATTGGTCATTAGATGGAAAGCCTTGGGGGGGGAGGAGATACCAATAACTTTCCAATTCCTTTCTTACATCTGAATTTCTATAACATAATTACCACATTTTCCCATACAATTCCACTTTCTCATCATTAGTGGATAGATGGAAATTCTTTTATACTTTACAGTAACTATTCAGTGTATGAGAAAACATAAAAGATAGGGACTATATTATCTGTTCTGTAACAAATGGTAAGTGTTAAGACTACATACATGTGCAGAAGTTGGCTATAACAAAAGCAAAGGTTTGGACCACACACTGTTAATTTGTTCAGTCCCAGGAAAACAAACTGTTACCTCCTCCGTTCTATATTAGAAAAATACCATTAGCTGTTATAAGCAAATAATTCTTGTTTCCTACGGAAAACACTGATCCCAATTTCCTGACTTTCTAACTCAGTACAGTGGTCCTAATGCACATATTTGCTTCTTGACTCTAATAGGTAAAGGGGAAAAAAAAGATTTGCTTTGAGAGTGCTTTGGTATGCTCTCTTCTACAGTACATGTCGGTAATTTCATTTGCTTCTCACCCACCTATCAGAGACAATCGGTAATTCTGTTTAGGGAACGCACAATTCTAAACACTCAGCAGCACAGAATGCAAAAGTATTCCTCCCCGAACACATGAAACTCTAACCTGAGTAACTCAATAAAGGAAACGGGTAATACAATTTTCTAAGTTTCCCTGGGAGCTAAGTAGAATAGAATGTCCAGAATGATTCTGCCAAAGGTAACAGTAATGCCTAAAACAATGTCATCACCACTCCTAGCAAATCAACTGGCCTCTTTGCAGGCACTCGGAAACACTGATTACATTTCCTCTCCCGAGTAATGCCCCTACAGCAATAAAGTATATAACCAAGACGAAAGTTTAGGATGCAACAGCTAACCTAATCCTAGAATTGAACCACTGTGAAATCTTGTCAGTTAGTGAACTGGGAATTCTAATTACTGCGCGGCTAGAAAGCTTCACAGCTTCCTGAACAAAAACAATCTCCAAACTTCAATTTCCAACAGAAGTGACCCACAATCTAGTATGTCAACGCTGCTTCAGGACATTTCCTATCTTATTCCCTAACTAGCTCCAGCAGAACTCGTCCCAATGAAGCCTACATCTCTCCTAATGGCGTGCTAGACAATACAGCATCACTAAAGGGCCTTAGGAGACCAAAAGGCAAATAAAACCACTTGATTTGCTCCTAGTGTTGGACACTTGGTAACTCCAAATTAAGAGAAAAAGACTCCCAGTCCAGCTAGCAACTGTGTCCACACTTGTTCTCCCTATCACTACAAGCTCACTTCACAATCAGCCAGTGATCTCCTGCAAGGGATGGCAGAGGGGCGCTTCCAGCCTTGGCTGAGACGCCCCCATTACAGGCCATCTTTGCAGAACCCACAGCTAAGGAGGGAGGGTTACCCATGAGCCAGAATTCCCACCTAGCGACACTTCGTCGCCAGGTGATGGGCGGGCCGGGCACCCAGCCTGAAGTGGAAAGGCCTGTCCCTAGCCCGGGGTCCGCGCCACGCTTCTCTGGCCTACATAAAGCCTCGCGCCCCCGCCCTCGCCACCCAGGAGGGCGCGGCGCCCCCTAGCAGCGGGGCAAAGGATACAGTCGCGGCTCCAGAACGCGGAGCCCGGCAGGGAGGGGCCCGCCGCGCCCGCCATCTTGAAACAACCGCCACTCGAGGCGTCGAGCCGGGGTCGCCACGCCCCGGCCGCCAGGCTCGGTCCTCATTGGCCGCTCGGCGCAGAGGCCCGCCCCCGCTTGCGCCTCCGGCCCCGGCGAGGGGAGAGGCTCCGGGCCGAGGCGAGGCGGGGTCGCGGAGATGTGAAGTGAAGCCCGGGCCAGGGTCGCGGGAACGAGCGCCCGGCGGAACCGCTGCTGCCAAAGCCGCCCGGGCCGCCCATCCTCTCCTAGCGGAGCCCTCAGGCGCTGAAAACTACAACTCCCGGCATGCCCTGAGCCCGACGGCCGCAGACCTGAGGCGGGGTCGGGCGCGTCAGCCGGCAGGCCGGCTGTCCACGGCGGCGCCGGGGACTGGGGCCGCCGCCGCCGCGCGCGGAGTGAGAACGCGTGCAATGGAGGAAACACCGCCCCCACTGCAAGCCGGCAGCAAGCCGCACCTTGAGAAGTTGACCCTGGGCGTCACTCGCATCCTGGGTGAGTGGAGTGGGACAATGGCTAGAAAGGACGAAGGTGGAGGGATGGGTGCTGGGTGGACTGCAGCTAAGCTGGAGCTGTCTGCGGAGAGCATCGCTGCCGCGAGTTCCCTAGATGGGGAGGGAAAGGGGGGCCGTATCTAACCAGGCTTGGAACGTGCGTGCTGAGAGTTCCGGGATGTTTGCCTTCCATCTGCAAAAAGGAGTAGAGAGAGTCCGCAGGCACCTGGAAGCCTGGAGGACGCGTCTCCCAGGAGGCTTCCTCAGCCCAGATTGTATCCTTGAAATGCAAGCCCTGCTCAATAGCAGAGTGATGCTGCCAGTATCCCAAGGCAGCCGATGCCCAATGCCTCTGAGTACAGCACCGAGCTGTGGAAAAGAACCAAAGCTGGCAGAGCTGAAGGGGATTGAGAGTTCTTTTTCCATTGTACGCTGGTTAAGTGACCACCACCACTGGGGCTACAAAGATAAAGAAACAGAGTGTGGGAAACAAACTAACTTCCTATCGGCCCAAAACAAATCAGTAATCTCTCAGAGACTAAGGTATTAGAGGCCTAGAGGTGCCTGGCCTTTCTGGAAAGTTAAGAAGAATCATATCCTAGAGTTGATTTGTAGATTTTCCAGGCTAAAGGAAGGGGCGGGGTACAGCTGTCTTACAGGTTGAGAAAATATGTTTTGATGCTTTGCTCTCACAACTGTAAAGAAATTGGGATTTCTCTATGGTGATCTACAAGTTCCCTGTATCATCTGTTTTCATCTTGCTGTGTACACTGCTTTACCGAGGACATCTTGCTGTTGACGCTATAACTTTAAAGACACTTTTAAAGCTTTAACTTTTAAGCTTGTTCTTCCTGTAACCAATTTTAGTTATCCTGGCCTGCGGCCTCCTGGAATTATCTCCATCCCAATGTCTCCTGTTCATTTTTCAAATTTCTGATCAAAGAATTATCTCTAATAAACCTCACTCAAATACACCCTTCCACCTTGCTCTCTCATAAACAATTTTTATTCACCTTAGCAGCAACTATGAGCACTGTGTGAAATTGTTTTATTTGGCTTTTTTCTGTAATAGAAATCTACGATCAGGCCTGATTTAGTCTAGGAACGTGTGATTTGTTTAATATGTAAAAAGGAATGTAATAGAATGTTAGTAGAACAAAGGACAAAGCCTACATTATCAGTAACTGCCAAAAAGGTACTTGACAAATTGAAAAGAAAAGTGTATGTTATGAATAGAAATTACCAGTAATATTGACACATCTGTAAACCCATCAAGGGGAAAGGAGTGTGGTGGTGATCACGAAGTCAGGCTGAGCTAATAAGATTTTTTTCCCTCAAAATAATAATGAAAAAATAGACTAGAAAGCACTATCATCTTGATAAGGGGCATCTGTGAACGATCTCGTAGCTGACGTCGTGTTGAAAGACTACCTGCTTTATTTACTCTTAAGCTCAAGAGCAACAAACTATGCTAAAAGGGGAGCAAAACTGGTCCAGGTGTGCTAATTCACAAGGCTCATTTTTGTCCCAGCAGAAAGAGATAAAGCAAAATCAACAAAAGGCAAAAAGCAGGCAAGAAAGCTTAAAAAAAAAAATCTGTGAGAGTTTTCAAGAGTCTTCTCACTGGAACTTCACAGGGCATACTTAATTTCTCTAGCAACATGTTTGTAACAGTATGTCTAAAGTGTCCTTTTAAACTGAAGAGTCCAGAATTTCCTTACCTAGCATGTACCAACTTCCAGTCTCCCCCCCACCACCACCCCCAAAACCATATATTTAACATACTTTATTTGAATTTCAGTTTGGAGACAGTGAACCATTTTCATCTAATGATGATGGAAACCTCACTGAAATCCAGCTTCGTAAATGCCATCCAAGAGCCAACTTTATAAGTAGGTCTTGTAAAAGACTGATGTCATCTCAAGTCTACTATGCTGGATGTTTTCAATCGTAGCATTTCTACTCAGCATTGTAATAGAAATTCTGGCCAGGGAATTAGGCAGGAAAAATGAAGTAGATAAAAAGAAAACTAAAGATGCCTTTGTTTGCAAATTATAATCTCTTACAAATTAACCCTAAGTAATATATATTCTCTCTCTCTCTCTCTCTCTCTCTCTCTCTCTCTCTCTCTCTCTCTCTCTCTCTCTCATCCTCAACTATACAGTTGCAAAAGGCAATACAAAAATGAAATTAAGTTAACAAAGAAGTCTGTGACTTTTGCACTAAAACAGTAAAAGTCTTTTGAAGTATATTAAGACCAAAATGAGTAAGAAGTATCATCTTAAGAGTGGTTTTCCCCAAGTAGATCCTACAAATTTAGGGTCTGCAATTACTAGCAAATCTCAACACCTCTATTGCAGAAACTGACATATTAACCCTAAAGTTAATATCAAAATATAAGAGGCCAGGAATACTCCTCCCCTCAAAAAAATATCTTGAAACAGAACATTTTTTTCTTTTTGAAAATGTACTACACTGGAGCTTACTAAATATTTGGGAAATGACAGTAGTGATTATATAACAATTTGAATATTTATGTCACTTATCTCTATACTTAAATGTGTTAAAAAAGATTTGTTTTTTTGTAACATGTAGTTGCTACAATGAAGATAATAGATACCCTGGGACTACCATTACAGTTATGAGCTGCCATGGTGGTGTTGGCAGTGAAACCTGGATCCTCTCAATGTGTAGCCAGTGTTCTTAACTGCTGACCCATCACTCCAGGCCCCCTTAGTTTTGGTTTTAAGCAACTTAGAACTAATGAATAGGATTTTAAATAGGATACAAACAAGAAGAGTTCATAAAAATTAATAAAATGTGTTATGTGGATACCAAGTGACAACACAGCCCCAAATAAAATATTTGTAAATTACAATATGAACAGAGATTACAGGGTGTCTATAAAGAACTCTAGAAGTTTAGCAATTAAAGACAATCTAAAAGTTCCCAGTTGATATTTCTTTGAACCATATTTATATAAAGGTGACAATCAGATAAACAGATCAAAGCCAGAGTTAGATACTATTACCCCTCCACTAGATTGGCCATAATAAAGACTGGTATGAGTGTTGTCAAATATTTGTGAGGTTTGTTCAATCTTTATGGGTTGTTGGTGAAATTGTAAACTGGCATAGCAACTTTGAAGAAGGGTTTGACTTTCTTCAGAAGATTAAACATGGAATTACAATAAGATTCAGCAATTACACTTTATTTATCCATGAGAAAAAAAATCATTTACATACAAATATTTGTTCCCAAATATTCTTAGTAGTATTACTGGTAGTAACGTAAATTGAAAACCACTGAACTATCCAACTAATGAATGGATGTAAAAATCAAAGTAAGATATACAATAGAAAAATATTTTTTAATTTTAAAATATTTTTCTCACATAATATATCCTGATTACAGTTTCCTCTCCCTTTTCTCCTCCCTGTTTCTCCCACCTCCCTTCCCACCCATATCCACTCCTTTTATGTCTCTCATTAGAAAACAAACAGGCTTCTAAAGTATAATAATGAAATATTATGAAATAAAATACAATAAGATAAAACAATTTACCACAGAAGAGTTGAACAAGAGTAACAAACAGAAAGAAAAGAGCACAAGAGAAGGAAAAAAATCAGAGACCCACTCTTCACATACTCAGGAATCTGCTAAAACCACTAACCTGGAAGCCATAATATACACACAGCACCTGGTGCAGACCTTTGCAGGCCCCACATGCAACTCATTCTCAGAGTTCACATAACCATTAATCATGTGGATTAGAGGGTCTTGTTTTCTTGGTGTCCGTATCCCCTCTGGCTCTTATACCCTTTCCTCTTAGTCCTCTTCAGCTGGGTTCCCTGAGCTCTGAGTTAAGGGATTTGAAGGAAAAATCCTATTTAGGGCTGAAAGTTCCAAGGTCTCTCATTCTCTGCATCCTATCTGGCTGTGGGTCTCTGTATTTGTTCTCATCTGCTGTAGAAGGAAGTGTCTCTGATGGTGCCTAAGCAAGGCACTGATCTATGAATATAGCAGAGTGTCATTAGGAGTCATTTTAATGCTAGTTTGGGTTTTTTTTTTTAATTTGTCTTTGTTTGTTTGATTTTGCTGTTTTCTTTCTTAGAACAGCAGGATTTGGTTTTATCCTAGGTAAAACCATCTATTCACAGGTCCTTGGTCACCCAGGTAGTGTCAGGATGAGGTCCATCTTGTGAAGCAGGCCTTAAGTCAAATGAGATATTGGTTGGTTTTTTTGTACAAGCTTTGTGCTACCATTGCCCTAACATATCTTGTAGGCAGAACACCCTTGTAAATCAGAGGATTCGTGGATGGCTTGGTGTTTAAGTTTCTCATCTGGTAGTTTCCAAAGTACATTACTGTACCAAAGACACCCATCAAAGAGAAGTGAAAGCTCCATTCAGCACCAGTTCTACATGGCCATGTTCAACACATTGTGTTGGTGTTGTCTTCAACAACTTAGCATCAGTTTGAAGAGAGGAACTTATAGTCTTGGCAACAGCCTGGATTCCCATGGGAGCCCTTTGGCTAACAGCTCAATTAGATGTGACCCAATCCCAGTACTGACAGCTTCCTTTGGTGATGAGAGTTTGATGGTTAGAGCTCTATCTTTCCCATTTTTGGCAATTTTCTTTAGATTGCCTTCATATATGTGCATATTTTAGGAAGCTTCCACTGTATTTGGTTTCCATCTATCTCTCAAATGGCCCTCAATTTTAGCTGTCTCACTCTGTATTCCCTCCCTTGTCCTCTTTCCTTCTCACTCCCACTGATCTGTTGTCCCATCCTGCCCCCCAAATCCATTCATAACTATCTATTCTTTTTTCCTTTCTTAAAGCGATCTCTGTGCCTACACCTACTCCCAGTCTCGTACTCTGTACCTAACCTCTATGGATCTGTATAGTGTAGCTTCGTTATCATTGACTTAACAGCTAATATCCACAGAGAAGCAAGTATATACCATATTTGTCTTTCTGGGTCTGAGTTACCTTA